AAAAAAAAAAAAAAAAGAAAAGAATGGGAGTGCGCTGTTTTAGGGTGCTTTTAAGTTGTTGCTTTATCGTTTCTTCTTTACTTTGCCTCTAATTTTTTTAAAAAAATTGTATACACTTCTAAAGATCCCGTTTATTTTAAAAGTGTAACTTTAAAGGAAAGCGAGTAATTGTTTTAAACTGTTACAGTGTTATGAGGTTTATGTAATGGCTTCTTTGAGCCGTGAGAGCTCTGTTGAAGTTGTAGAGGATGGAAGCGGTGGTGAAGAAGAAATTCCTGGGCCGTCTGATGTAAATCACAGGCGGCTTTCTATGAGAAGTGCTACACGAAATTTTCGTCGAATCAATTTCGAGGACAGTATTTTTTATGAAGAGCCTCAAGAGGAAGAAGTATAATGTTTTCTGCATTTCTTTTAAATTTTTAGTATATCTTTGAATCTAACGTGCGTAAACAGGTGTCTGATAGTGTTATATCAGCAGCTGCAGCTCCATTTCATTTTAAGTGACGATTCCGTTTTCTAACTCTTTAGTGCTTCAGGTGTCAATTATTACACCTTTTTAGCAGATTTTGGTTGGAGCAGAAGATGTTTTAATTTTTTAGCCTTATTTGTGACCATTCAAATACCCATCACTTTTTCCTGACCATTTTTTAGCACTTTTTCAAGAATTTGTTGTAAGTTTTAAGTTTTGGAATATTTCTTTTAAGAGCTTTTGTTTTAGTTAGGTAGTCGTGTTTTTGCTTAACGGTAGGTGTACTGGCTGGACAGAGTACTTTCCGATTAATTACGGTTTTTTCAAAATTTCTAACCTCGAAAATACCTTTTCGATTTTCAGTTACCCGGTTTTGTTTAAGACACTTTCATTGAATCGGGCTGGGACTGTTGTTGCGCGAAAGATAGAAAGTAGCGGTGAGGAAGAAGATTCAGAAGAAGCAGTAAAAAAAAAGAAAAAACGATGTGAAACCGAAGATAAAGGTTGTTTTGAGGTGTGATATGTTCGTTGCAGGTCATTACATGAAATAATTTAGACAAGGATTGCTCACCTTGTTTTATCGACATTTGCATTTAATTTTAACGGCATTTTTTGGAAATCAGTTTTGCTTCTGTTTACTTTTATATTTTGGAATTTTTGTTACTAAAGACAAAGGTTCTTATTTCTAGTGATGAATAATTTCACTTGTGATGATACAGAGGACAGGACTTGCACGATTTGTTTCGAAGAATATACTAATGCAGGATCTCACAGGTTTTCTTCTTGGCTTCTGAAACCTTCGTTAAAAAATTTGGAGACAAGTTTGACTTTGTTTCTGAAGTGCGACGTGGTAATTACCATGCGTTAACGACTAATTTTTAGTTGTTGGGGTTGCCGACATGTACTTGAAATGAACAGAATTTTGTTAATTGGAACCTACCTCAGCTTTCAGGTTGGTGTGCCTTAAATGCGGACATATATTTGGGCAGTCGTGTATAGAGAAATGGATTCGTAGCGAGAAAAATGCCAAATGTCCTCAGTGTAAAGCAAGAGCGCGAATTTCGGACATAAGGCGGTTATTCGCTAGAACTATCAAAGTGGGGTTTTTTGCCTTCTAATGCCATTATCACTGAAAATAATATCAGGTGCTAATGGTATTCAATGCAAGCATCAACTTTTTAGATGGTGGATACGACTGAGCTGGAACTGTTGAGGGAGTCGGTGAAAATTTATAAATCTGAAAATGAGAATCTTCGAGTTGAAATAGCGGAACTGAAAATGAAACTGCAAGATGCTATTCAGCGAACCGCGAAGAATGCTGATAGTCGTGAAGAAAACCTGTGGAGGTAATGACAAGCCTTTTTTCATCATATTTTATGAAAGTGTAACGGGGATGAAAATTTTTCGGCCATTTAAATTAATCTATTGTTCAATGGGCAGAAGTTTAACTTTATTTTCGGCGTTGGAAAGATTTTTGCTCTTTAGAGAAGGTGGTCATTTGGTTTAGTTGAATTTTTTAAAGCTCGTGTGAAATTGCTGCTTCAGTACCTATTCTTCTTTTTCGTTTTTGATTTAACTGTTGAAAGATCTTGAGTGAATTTGGAAGAGGTTTATGCTCGCGTTTATTTCTAATTATAAGCCCAAGAGTACTGACGGGAAATCAACTTGTTTTGGGAACGATTTTAGCAAATTTGGCACATTGCCACTGCGTTGTAAAGAGCTACCTCTACGTTAAGCCATCGGGCTCCGGAAAGGTATGTAAAACTTTTGTGTTATAAGTGTGTATGGAGTGACTACCTTTGTCTTTCTTTGTCGGCGGTCGTCGAAGGGGACTGCCGTATCCGTCCCCCAAAATCAAAGGTAGTCTCGAGTTTTTACTTGAAAGGGAAACATTAACCTTCCGAAAACATGCAAAAAAAAAAAAACCGACACTGGTAGTATTGCTGTCCCTTCTTCATTCGCTGTTTCTCTCTTTCACTGTTTATTATTTTTCCACTACTATATTTAAATACTTCTCTAATTATTGGTAGCTTTTTTCCGATTTTTTTCCGAATACCATTTTAAGACTTCCTTGTAGTGGCCTGGACCCTGTATTTGCTTCACTCATTCCATAACTCTTAACTACATAGAATCCTACAATGAGAAAACTGATAGCTGTTTCCGCACAGCTAACTGAGTTATTAGAGTAATTAAGTTATAAGGTAATGTGTAAAAACGAAAACGCTCTCACATTTTTGCCAAAATCTCGGCAGAATGGAGGTCAAAAAGCATGAAGTTTTGAAAACGCACCAGAAACACGTTTAAACAAAAGCGCTTTGTTACGTCTCATACGCACGTGTAATACAAAAGTTTTACATACCTTTCCGGAGCCCGCTGGCTTAAAGTAGAGGTGCCTCTGTACATCGCACCGGCACTGCGCCAAAGTTGCGGAAGTCATCCCCAAAACAAAGCCATTTCCCCACCAGTAGACTTGGACTTATAATTAGAAATGAACTGGGGCATAACTCGCTACTACGTGGAATTTCACAATACAAGATGAGATCAGTTTTTTAATTTTAAAATGGTTTAACGTTAGGCAAGTGTCTGGGGTTCTTACTAGGGTTTTTACTGTGTTTAATTTAAATTAAGACTTAGTTTTTCTTAGTAGTTCTTTTATTTAGATGCTTTAGATCTTAATTCGTAATATTTAGCTTCGATTCCGGTCGTAGCACTTCACTGCCACTTAGTTTAAAGGCAGGCCCAGCCCTGTTTTTATCGGCTGAAGCTGGGTCGAAATACATCGACGTATCGGAGAACTTTGTTATTACTTGTTCGCTGCAAAGTGGGATATTTCTTCCTTTTGGGCTGAAAATTGTAAATATTTTTTCTAATTTCTAGATTTAAAACATTCAGTTTTTCTTTGCTTATTTTCTAAATGCCACAGGTTTTTAATTTGGTTTTTATATTTTTCCTGTAATCTTAAGCCTTTTTTGCTGCAGTTTGGTTGTTCTGTGCAACAATTAATTTAAAATTCTAATACTACTTTGTATAGGTGAAGAAAGACGGTCGTATTAAAACTTCTGTTCCTGTACACTCTGAAAAACCAAGATATTGTGTATTTTCTCCATTTAATAAAAGTTTAGTCCTTTCGACTGGAGAAGATAAAACGCTTTGTGTAACCAGGTAAAATATTATAGTTGGATTTTTGGTTTACGATCTTTTATTATTATTGTGTGTTTTTATTTCCGTATCGTGTGTTTCTTTTGGCTCACTTTTCGGTATTCAGGTTTGCTGAGAATTCTGCTGCTGTAATTCATCGGTTTGAGTTGCCAACTAAGGGTTGGTCATGTTGCTGGCTTAACGAGAAGGAAGTAGCTGTTGGCTTGTTCAATGGTTTGTTCTTTATATGAATTGAATCTGCAGAACTTTTCAGTTTTTTTGTAGAGATTAGTTTATGTTTCATGGTAATAAAAAAGTTAAAGATGTGGGGGAGGTTAGCATTAGTTACTGATTTTTTCTGGTGACTTGGAGTGCTGATTGCGTGGACTTAATTCTTGAGGTTGCCTTTTTTCTTTTGAGAAATGTAATCTTTCAAAACAGCTGTATACAGGTTCTAACAGCCTCAGCAGTTTTCGTAACATTTTGATTTGCGAAGGAGTTGGAGGTTGGAAGGGTTTAAAAGTCTTTTTTTGGCAAGAAAGTAACAAATAGTCGTCCTAGAGGGAAGATATGAGTGGTTTGTAGCGCGGTCGGTTGAGTAGTCGCAACGTTGTTTATCAGAGTAGGGTTCGTTCCCTGCTGGGGTACGCATACCAGCTACGCATTGGTTGTTTATGTCCAGTGCGTCGTTCTACATATGCGGAAAGAGGCGATGCGAGATGCAACCATTGCTTGCTTCGTGATAGCATCCAATGTATTTGCGATATCACACAACTTTGTTTCTTAGCTGCGGCTTGGAGTCTCAATAAGTCATAGGGCTGATGTTTCAGGCAGAATTCTTAAATTCGATTTGGACAGCCATGATTCTCCTCCGATTGATTTAGCAGATGCAGCAAGTCGTTGTCCAATAATTGAGTTGCAGTGGTTAGATAGAGCATCATCTCTTATTGTTGTCTCAATCCTTGAATGTTGTGTTTACCGTCATCGGATAAAAACTTCTATTGTTTTAGGTAGTAAGGGTTCTCTTAGTAGTTTTTTTTTTTTTGATTTTTAAATTCGTCTTACGTGTCGTATATTACTATATTGACTATTCCAACTTATAGGTTCAATTATGTCGTTTAGCTGGAATGCGGATAACAGTTGCTTTATGCTTTCTTTTTCACCGAACAGGACTAGGATTTTCACCGAACATGCACTTTATAAAGTTACTTTCGACGAGACTGTAGTAAAAGCTCAAGAAATTGATAGGTATCGAAGTAGTTCCAAAAAGCAAACGCGTTTGGTTCACTGCACTCTATGGAATGTGGAGGACTCATTGTTCTCTGCTGTCTTTGATGAAACTCATTCTCGGCTGGTAATTCCTAATTTTTTGGTCATCCTTTTCTACAGAGTTATTGTGCTCTTGAAGTGTAAAAATTTATTTCTTCAGGTTGTATTTAATTGGGGCAGAGAACGCCATGTAGTTGAGAATTTTGTTGGCGACGCTATAATTGCAATAAAGGAGATGAAAGGGTTTGATAGCAAGAACACTCGCCTTGCATGTTTAAGTGAAAAAGAGTTATATTTTTTTGACGTTTGCTATTCTTGACGTGTTAGGGAAAAAAATCTCCTATTTTCTATTTACGTGCTTTAATGGTTGATCACCTACGTTATAAATAGTTTTAAGTCGATGGAAATTATGACAGCTGTATCTTTTATGACTTTACTGCTTTTAACCTTTGATGGTTTTAATATTCTTGAATAAATAGGCACTTTGGACATCATATTTTCTTGATGCTACCTGGTAGAACGTAATTATGAAGCAGAAAACGTTTTCTAGTTCTTCAACGATTCCTTTCTTACTTTTAAATATAGTTATTTTGTTACAGTTTTTCTCTGATAACTAAGCACTACTTAATACTTGAATTATGTTCAAATTGTGAGTTTATAATTCCTTTCATTGTTTATTGCGGGTATGTCACAATGCTGTATTAGATTGGTATTGTCGAAGTCTAGTATCTACAACTTTCACCGGCGACTCATTTTAAAGGTTTAATTTATTAACAATGAATTTCAGATATGACTTTATGAGCGGACCCGCGGTGAACGTTGTATAAGATTTAGCTGCTGTGGAATGATTTCCTTGACCGGAACTTCGTGTCTTTTTTTCTTTTTTCTGTTTGTGAGTTAAGAAGTTGCAGAGAGCCGAATTTTAGAGTAGGAGTTTCACACGGCTTTTTTGTTGTCAAGTGGGGCACTCGTTCTTTCGCAATTTTGTAGAGTTGTTTAGCACTTTTCTTATGCTTTTTTCATTTAGCAGCGCCTGGAAGCGGTTGTTTGTAACGGGCCTTTCTGTCTATTGTGAGGCCGATAGTTAATTTTTTTTTTTTTAATATATATAAAGTCGCATCAATTTCATTAAATGACTATCGTGCTAGAGATCTCAAGATTTGGCCAATGTAGTTTATCTTTATTAAATTGTTCTTCTCGTTTACTACAGACTGTTGAAGTGTATTAGGTGGTTTGAATGCATAAAGGCAATTATACCAGGCTTTTTTTTTTTTCTTTGATGCTTACGTGGTGGTTAACTGAGAGGTGGTGGTCTTCTGCTGTACTGGCGCCATTCTTTGTGCGGGACAAGTGTTTCGAAATTTTAGTTTTGGAAGAATTTGAGTGATAAACAGTATTTTTTCAGTGGTTCATTGAATTGTAAGGTGGTACATGAGAAATGGGAACGAGTTAGTTTTGGACGTTTAGCTGTTCGCAGGGGAGGTAGTGGTGGGATTCATGGCTTTTCGAGTCTAAGAAGGGAAGTTTTTATTTTAAGTGGGAAAAAGTTATATGTTGAACCTATTTGTGGCATATTCTTTAGTCTAAATTTCCGG